AATTTGTATGCCAACTTCAAAAGCTAATCTCCCAGAGCAACTTGTTTTTTTCTTCAGTTAAAATTTTCCACTATGACAATGCCCTACATTCTCTTTTGGCTTTAGGTCGCCAGGACAAAAGAGCTCGGTGAGGACTGGCGCTTCGGCTGACATGAATTGGCATCATCTTGCATGAAAACGGGACTTTCTTGCCGATTCCTTCGCTAAAAAGGAAGCAGATCCCGTCGTCTGCCGTTTTGATAGTAGGGAGGATTCATTTTCTCAGGTACGAGGCTAATCTTTACTGCGCTCGCAGCCCCACCCCCTCTGAAGATTATCAGTAGGTGAATTGAGCTTGTTTTTTCTCAGGTCGTTTAATAAAATAGGTTTTAGAAAATACGAGCTAGAAAAAAAACTGAAAACACAAGAAAGACAAGCAGTGGGGCACCGCTGCCAAAAGCTAACATTACCTCAATCGGTTCAAGAACGGTGCCTCCCCACTTTCCTTCTGAGAACCATTGGCTTGAAATAACGCCCACCATTCGGCATCCTTTTTGTTCCGTAGAAAGGTGTTGAAGTGACTTGCTTGGGCTTTAAAGCGCAAAAGACGGTGTCCTGTCTACCAGAAGCTGTCTGTGTTACATTTAGGGGCACGCCCTGCCACTGGGACAAATTTTGCAAAGTACGATCTCGATCCGATAGAACATTCTTTGCTTATTAAGATGGTGTTACTGCCTTCCCGCTAGTGGACAAACACTTCATCTTTAACGCAAAATTAGGAAAAAACGCTGTGACCCACCGGCTATCACAGTAGATGCGATTTTCTGATTTATAAGAGCTACCAATCAACGATTCTGTGCTAAGTCGCTTCAAGATGACTACAACAGTAAAAGAGCAAAGTTATATTAGGTTGTCCGGAAAGTTAAAAAGGAAAGGAAAGCTTTAGACTGTTTTTGTTTGATACAATCAAAAACAGAAGATGCGGGTTCGAGTCCCGCCCGTAGTCCGACTTTTGCTTACAACTCAGCATTCTTGTGAAGAGCTCATCGTTGTTG